CAATTGTTCTTGTGTCTGCATTTAAAATTTGTAGAATGCAAGTAATTGACATTTATGTTTCATGTTTAGTTGATTTCGTCATTAAAATAAAATTACTCACTTCACCAGTAGATAATTTATTTTTGGCACAATGTACTAAAAGTGGTTGACCTTTATCTGTTATTTCTAAATTCCAATGTAATTTATAATAATTTATTAAAGAAATTTTGTCAGTTCCTTTATCAAATTCGTATGTAGGATTTTTATCCCATGCAATATCATCAATACGATAAGTTTTATTATTATATCTTGTAAAAACTGATAATCCAATTAATTCTCTTATAATGATATCTTTAAAATTTGGTTTTCCTCCAAACTTCATCCTGCATCATGTATTTTATGATAAGAAAAAATTAATTTCATAATATTAAAATTTAAATAAAATTATTAATAAATCTTACATTATATCACGTACTGTTTCTGTCCGCATGACACGATGTCGTGCGTCTATGCATAATTTTAAACCTCCATCATATTCATTGATAGCTGTAACATATCCTGGCCATACTTCTAACTTATGTTGTGGTACAGAATGTATTCCTTTTGGATTAAAACTATGTTGACCAATGCGAACTAAACTGAGAGCTCGCATAACACGACCAAGTAATACATTAAAAAATGGAATATTCTCAGATATACTTTGTTGTTTTTTATATATCACTTTTAATTCCACTTTTGATTCATCCATAGGATGTATAGATGTAAAAAGATTTATCTAAAAATTATATTATATAATAATAGAAATCAGTTATTTTTTAACTTAATCACTAACAAATTTTTATAGAATATGTTTTTATAAACTTTAAGAAATCCTTTCTATTTGTATATATATATATTGATTTTCATTACTTACATCTTGTTTTAATTTTTGTGGTAGATAAAGTGTTACTCCATCAAATACTTTTGTTCGTCCAAGTGCTTGTACATGTTGATTAAGAAGTTTTCTACGAAGTGGTCTTGAATCAATGTCAGGATTAAATTTAACTTCATAATTAAATAGTCCTTTTGCAGGATCTAACTTAAGGTTAATATAGTTAGCACCCAATTGTATTCTAAAAATTGATTACTATTCTCTAACCTATATTTAAATTTTATTGTAATTATTAATTACATATACATATATATATATTGATACTTACGGCTCCCCCTCAGTTCCTTGATGAGACATTGGTTTATGTGATGCTTCAGATTTAGGTTTATTTTCTTGTATTGTAATATCAGATAATTTACCTAATACTCCTGCATCATCAGAAGAATTTTTAACAATGTTCGGTTGTTGAGGAATTGTTTCATTTAAACTATAAAAATATATTTTCTTTTGCTATTTACATATTAAATATTTTTTTTTTTATAATATATTTTTTTAGTATTTATGATTTTTAAAAAAAAAAATTTTTTAAATGAAAAATAAATTTGAGTTATCATAACTTGATAATATACTGTTACTGATTGATAATATAATAAATACTCTATTTAACATTTTATTCTTTTTATTACAATAAAAATATTTTTGATATTATATATAGTGATTTAAAAATTATTGCTTATTTTTAATATATAATTTAATTTATTAGAAACAATATTTTGCTTACTAAAACTTTGTTTTAATAATTACAATTAATTAAATTTTACAATATCTGTTGCTATTTATAATGTATTTAATAATTATATGATATTATATTGTAAATATTATTGTGAAAATATTGAAATATACTGAAATATATAAATATATAAATATATAAGACAAATATTTGAAAAATATAATGAATCAAATTCAAACAATATTTAAATGAATTCTAATATTTAATAGCTTTTATACAATATCTCATTATATATAAAGAATCCCAAAAATATTGGAATATCTGTAAATTGAAGATTTCTGAGTTAATTTCAAACATTTTTCTTTGCAAAAATTTTTATTACAACTTTGTTATGTGTTATGTATAGTCTAGTCGAATCGCGACTATAGTATTGTGTCGGCAACCAAATATGTTGAAATTACTTTGAAATTATCTCAGGAATTTTCAGTTTACGGATGTTTCAACATTGGACTCTGTATATCTAATAAGACAAAAATTTTTAATAAAACAATGATTTTAATTTTGCAAATGTTTTTTATTATATTATTACATATATATACATATATATACATATATACATATATATATATTTATATAATAATGTTAAAATACATACCTAGTTGTTTTAAGTCTACTAAGCAAAGATCCTCTACCTGAACTAATTGTTTGTATTGGTTTAGGCTGTAATATTTCACTAGATTTCATTTCTTTTAATACTTGCAATAAACTAGCTCTTCCACGTCCTATTGTAGAACTTGATGGAATTTCAATTACAGATTGAATATTAAATTCTGTTTGGTTTTTTGATTCTTTGGCATTATTACTTGCATTTAATGTAGATGATATTCCTTGTAATATCCCTTCATTTTCAGCTTTTTCTTTTTCTTTTAGAAGTTTTAATAAAATACTTCCTCTTCCTTTGCCAAATTGCTTATCTCCTTCCATTTTTCCTAAATATATTATAAAGAAATTTTATTTTATAGTAAAATTCTGTTTTATTTTAATTCTATAATAATTTATTATTATTATATGACTATTATAAATAAAAAACAAACAAAATATAATTATAAATATATAACATACAAAATATATAAAAATAATTATCATCAAATTAGTTATATTGGTATTTCTTGAATGAAGAATATAAAAAAATATTAAAATATAACATTAAATATATGATGAAAATTGACAAAAATATGAAATGATTACTAATAAGTGTATAACATTATTTTATAATAATTTTTTTGTAATATTTTATTATTGAGAATAAGGAGAGAAAATTAAATAATTTAATATTAAAATATAAAAAGAGAACTTAAAATGTAGAATTTTAAATACAAATTATTTTTAAAAATATTTTTCTTTTTTTTATAATATAATATAATATAATATAATATTTTGATATAATTATCTATAAAAATAGAATGTAAAAATTTAGAAAATATTTGTAACATTCAAATATATTAAAGAAAATAAATAAATATTATAATATATTATAATAAAAAAAATGAAATAAAATTAAATAAAAATGAATGAAAACATATAATAATAAATTTATTTAAGATAAATAAATAATTAATATAGTTATATATTAATATTGTTATTTTTTACTTTTCAAAATAAATAATAATTTTTTGATATAAAAAAAAAAAAAATAAATTATTAACGATTATTTATAAATAATAAGGTTAACTTTAATATATAAAAAATAATTTTTTATGATATATAAACCACATGGTTTATTGATTTAAAATATCAATTTATAGATCAAAGTTTCAAATAATATTTTAAGATATATTTATTTATTTTCAATTAATTAAAAAAATATAAATTATTAATTTAATTAATAATGTTAATCAATATTTTACTTACCTTGATTAAAATTTTATTTTTTTTGAAAAATAATATTTACAAAGTACAACCCGCGTGTTTTCTACAGTACTAAATACTTTCAAAATGATAGTCCTTGTAGAAGATAAATAAACTAAATCACGTGACAGAGGCTACAATCCTAGCTATTGGTTAATAACATTGTTGATAATTTGAGAATTTTAGTTATATATTGCTATAATGTTGCTCATTATGAAAATGAATTATATTTAAAATTTTATTATTTTTCAGATAATTTACATCTTTAATATTTCTTTTAATATATAAAAAAATAAAAAAGATATTAATATAAAAAAAATTTATATTTCAAACATTTTTTGTTTCCTCTATTTTAATTTTTAATTTTCATCATATATTTTCATTTAATGATTTATTTAATAATAAAAAAGTTAAATAGATTTAATTTGAAACAATATTTCATATATAATTTTTTTAGAATTAATTTTAATTTTCATATGTATTTAAAAGCAAAATTGAAACTTCTAAATACATATTACATATCTTCATAAATATATATCTTTATTACATAATGTAAATTCTAATAATAATTAATAATAATTTTAATTAATAATTCTTAATCATAAAAAAATGAAAATATATAATAGTTATAAATTATAATAATTATATTATAATAATTATAAATAAGTAAAACCAACATTTGTTTATTTTAAATAATAAATTTATTTTAAGTAACATATATACTTTCTACATATAATTACAAAATATAAAACATAAACTATTTATCAGAGAATTTTTTAGGAATTTTTTATGATTATTTTTATGAAATATGATATGATTATATGATAATAATGATTTCAATTTCTAATATAAACAAGAAGAGTAAATAATGGAAGAAGGATAAAATAAAAATTGTGAAATCAACGCCATCTTTAGAATGCCTCGAAACAAATATGAACAATGAGATAATAAGAAAAGAACAGAGTTATCTTTTGAAAATCAAAGATATTTCTTTAAAAATTATCTTTCTAAAAGCATTCAAGAGATGGCATTAATGATCATTTTTATCTCTTATTTCTTTCCTTCTATTATTTGTTTTCTTTATGTTTATGTTTCATTATAGCATTCTAGAGATGGCGCTGATTGCCTAATTTTTACCCTAACTTTACTCTTCTCGTATTAATCTTTATTAATATTTTAAAGATTTTAAGAGTTTCTTATAATAATGAGATTAAAAGATAGAATACTAATTTAGAAATCAAAAAACTCAATTTTATTATTTTTAATATAAGATTATTTACTTTTTTGTGTTTTTTTAAATATTTTAGTATTTAGAAATAAAAAATTTTATTTCTATTAAATAATTTGATTTAAAAATATGTTACAAAATTAATAAGTAGATAAATTATAAAAATAAATTTGTTGCAAAGCATTTAAAATAATTTTTATATAAGAGTATTTTAATTTTTTTTATTCAATTAGCTTTCTAATTTCAAATTGGGTATTTCGGCAAATTTAATCAATTACGCATGATTAGCATTAATAAAACTTTATTATTGATATTCATTGAACTTTAAGTATATATATGTAATATATATATATATATATATATTTATTTATTTATAGTCAATTATTTACAAGAGTCACGTTTTCGTATTAATTAATTAAAATAGAATTATTACAATAAACTATAAAGTAAATCAAACAACAATGAATCGGTTATGAGAAGAATTCAATGTGATTCATTCTGCGAAACCGAGTGCACGATATAAGAATCTGATGGCAAGATGTTTCTTATAATTTGAGCTAACTGAATATCGTGCATGTCGTATGGTCATTCTTTCTATACACACATATCGTATTCGACTTTTACCATTTTTAGATATGGCACTTGACGCATTCGTGCGCATCTCACGATGCCACGTTCGAGTTTTTATTTTATCGAACGCGAGCTCGTGTGTGTAAATATTTTTCTAAATCGGATGCAATTTATAATTAATAATCTTTATGGATTAATAATCGTCTTGCGTAAAAAATTCGTATGCCTCCTTAGATATTATGGTGCGATCATTTACATCCATAGATTACATAACAAATACGAAGATTTTTTTGAAAAACTTACTTTTTAACGGCCTGATTCTTTTATCACAGACCAGTTTCGTCTTTATCCATATCATGTTTTTCGATGATCGATGTTATCTTAGACGATTATCTATGCATCACATATTAGCTTATTGAATAAATGCAGATGCTGATAGTCACATTCTCCACCGATCTCTTTTTTTTCGCTATTTGTCGAACACGGTTCGAAGTTTCACATACGTTCTTTTTCAAGAGCAATTTCTTTAAAGGAATTATTAATAGATCTTGACTAAAAATCATTATCCCATCCGGATATATCATCAGGTGGTGGTGGATCTGAATCTGGAGGATACTCGTCAAAGTTCGTTGTATCTGTAGCATTTTGAACTCGCGGCATGATTGGAGGTTCAAGTGTTCTTGCTCTTAAACCTTCCCAATTAAAACCATCGAACCATCTAAACAGACAAATATAATTATTAATAAAAAATTCTTCTCTATTTTTTATACAATTATATTATTTAATATTCTTACTTGTGTTTCTGTATTTCGCTAATGCCACCCTTTTGGTAACCAAGACGCTCCGCTGGATTGTCCCTGTTAAACGAATAAATACAAGTAATGTGAATAACAAAATTTAATATTTAATAAATCAATTATAGAATTATCAGTCGATATCTATATTTCGATCAGAGTTTAATTATTACCTGCAGAGCTTTTTAATTAACGCAGTCGCGTTTCGCGTGATAGATCTAGGAAATTCTATAGCGTCGATTCCTTTTAAAATAATGTTATAAGTCTTCATTGGATCGCCACCAGTGAATGGTGGTGTACCCGTAAGAAGTTCGAACATCAGAACACCAAGAGACCAATAATCGGCACTGATATCGTGCCCTTTATTTAATATAACTTCCGGTGCAACGTATTCAGGCGTGCCACAGAAGGTCCACGTCTTTCTTCCATGATCCAAACGTTTGGCAAAACCAAAATCGACGAGTTTTACATATCTGAAAAATATTATATTTAGCAAACGAAAGAAATAATTAATTAAATAATGAAAATTAAAAAATTCTCTTTATATTCCCACATATAGAATCTATTTTAAAAAAACTTTCTTACCCTTGACTGTCAAGTAAGAGATTTTCCGGCTTGAGATCTCTGTATATAATATTCCTAGAATGAAGATAATCGAACGCTTCTACGACACAAGCAGTGTAGAATCTTGTCGTTCCATCGTCAAAGTGACCCTTGTCTCTTAAAACAGTCCAAAGCTCGCCACCAAGACAGGCTTCCATCAGCATGTAAAGATACTTCCTATCCTTGAACGTTTTGAATAACTTTACCACGAAATCGCAATCAGCTTCCCCCATAATTCTCTTCTCTGACATAATGTGTTGTTGCTGTCGCGTTTCAACAATCTGGGCTTTCTTCATCTGTTTCAAAGCGAAGGATCTCGAACTGTCACCAGCTATTTGAACTAATTCGACTCTTCCGAAACCGCCCACACCTAGAGTGGCCAATGGTCGAAGATCTTGCAGTCTTAGATCTCTGAATTCCTCGTTCAACCTATATATTATCAGATACACGTGAGCATACATGTTCGTTCATTATCTCTCTACTTTTTTTTTTTATTAAATTGTGCGCGAAGAACATGAAAGCAAAAAAAGATTCTAGATTAGATTTTATATAATCATAGAATAAAAGCTTTTTCTATTTTTAAAAAATTTAACTATAAAAGCTATAAAAATTAAATGGATGAATTACAAATTAAATGGAATTAATTTACGAATATTTCTAAACAATCTTAAGCGATCAATTATTTTTTACCTCTACTTATTACGATAGATGAAAAGAAGAAGAAAAAGTAAAAAATAAATTTAATCATCTTGTCTCCAGAAATATTAAATTAAATTATCTAAATTATTCTCAATTACGATACTGCGCTTTTAAATTACATTAATACCATCATGCTGATAAGATTTACGACTAATTGTTAATTCCTTCTTTTTCCGTTTCTATCGCGATGCGGCGGTTGATACAAATTGCCAACATGTTTTTTAAAAGAGAGAGAGAGAGAGAGAGAAAAATATTAATAAATAAATAAATAAATAAAAAATAACGAAACATCAGCTTAATCATTAACTGTTGTATCATAACGCGAAACTTACTCTGATATTGTACGCTCTATTCTCCCATCCTAGTTGGTAAGCGTGAAACATAACATACACATACATACATACATACATACATACATACATAGAGGAGATAGAGGATTTAACAGACGATTCACGATCGCGATTATGGCCGTGTATAATTAGCGTTGATGAGAGTTAACGCGGTTATTAATAATAACACCACGTTTCACCACATGCGCGATCGAATTACGTGGCGTAGATTCGAAACGCACTCACCTTCTACGTTCAACGAGCTCGTCTTTGTATCGTGTACGAATTTCGTCCAGGGACGAGATCAGTTGATTGAACGTTTCACGGTCTATCACCAGGCAACTCACTCCTTCCGGATCGTCGGCGATTATGTTGGCCGTCCTCAGGTCATCCCTGTGAAAACGTTTCGCGCAATTTAATCATTGCGTGGGCGTTGATACATTTGTACGAAAGATTTCAATTACGGTTGATGGATGATGGAAGTAAGAATAATTCAATTGATTCGAAATTTTATCGAAGAATTTTAAAATTGGAATTCAATTTGATAGTGATTTGATAGTGGTATATGGATATATATATTACACATAGTACATGCTTTTTCTTAAATCGTATTTAATAATTCTTTCCACTATTTTTATAATATATATGTTTCTTAGTGAAGTGTTCTATGAAAGTTTAATTTTATAATTTTTTTGTTCAAAGTGAATCAAATAATATTACCCTTGAAGAGCTTTTTCACCAAAGAAATCGCCTTTGCTTAGCGTCCTGATATATTTTTCTTCCGGTGTATCGGGCTGTTTTATCGTGACGCGAACTTGTCCTCTGCTTATTATGAAAAATGTATCTCCTCTCGCTCCTTGCCTGATTATGTAATCCCCATTGTTGTAAAAAGTCTGTAAAAATATATACGCGTGATATTTAACAGATAATACAAGAGTCTTTGACATACATCTATTCAGATATTCAAGAAAGAATTTTATATTGTAAAGTTTGAACAAGGATTGAAAATATATTATAATAATATTTTTATGCTTATAATTACGATTTCACCTTACAAATTATTATCAAGAAAGATCGAACAAATATTTTATTATCTTTTTAACTTTGCATCGATACATATCCCATAGTTGTCTTTTCGAATATTTTTGTACAATAATATTTACATTTTATTGGTTAGTATTACTTCTATTGCGTTAACATGTTAACAAACAAATATTGTTATTTAGATATAGAAAATTAGGATTTAGAAACTTACGCAAGTACAATTATAATAATTAATGAGAAATTAAAAGTTAATCAAGATATTTAAATTTACCTCTTCCAATACGTCTGAAATTTTTATTAGAGTCTCCTCGGGCAAATTCTTGAAGATAGGAACGCTGAAACAAAAAATTCGAGACGTTCGTTAAAAACCAACTTCGTGGTGATTAGTTAATTTTCAAAAGATCTATTAGCGGACAGAAAATTGCTTATTTCGAGTCGGTTGATCGACATTTATTAATTTATTCCACCATTAATGAGATTTGATTATTTATACAGGAGGGAATATTGAAAAAAATACCTAAAAATAAAAAAATTGGTTAATGAAAAACTGGTATTAATATTCATTTTGTCTATTATTTATACATGTATATATAGTTTTCTTAGTAAACACAAACGAAACTATTCACCAATTTAATCGTTGGTTTATTGTTTCTCATTATTCTTCGTCGCAATGATGATGATGATGATTATGATTCATGGTCAAATTTTGTTTAAATTCAGACTAATTTGAGACATTTCATAGTTTAAATTATTTTCTAAACAATCATTTTGAAAAAGTCTTGAGACGAAATAGAGATAATAAGTTATTTTATTTGCCTAAATCTTTGTGTTTTTACGAGTTAAAAAAAAAATTGTAATCATCAAAACGAAATATTCGAATAAATAAATATTCATTATCTTCCTTTTTATTATTTTACTCGATCGTTCACTGAGATTTACTGAAAAAATATGTAGATAAAAATTTATTAATCTTATTGTAAAATATTCATAAGATGTTTAATCATCAAATAAGATAACAAAGTTGAAAAGATAAAACTTTATAATAAGATCTCTTCAATTTCCATAATATATTTGAAAAATTTTGTAATATACCACATACCAGACGATGAATAAACTTTTTTCCCTACAACGTAAGACATTAATAAATATTAAACCAAAGAAGAGATTTATTGATTCATTAAATACGAAGTTGTAATTATTAACCTTGGAAATGATGATAATAATAATAATAATAATAATAATAATAATAATAGTGTCTATATTTTAAAGAAGATTGCATATATGCATAATACTTTTTATTACCTCTTTAAGAAATCCGTATATTCGGCCTGCCGTGAAAGGCCAGTTCTCATCATAATGGTTTGGAAGCATTGTCGGTCGATGGCCCATAGCTGGCAATCAGTAGCTGCTGTTATCGTCGCTGTTCTTTTGCAGTTGTAGAGAATTGCCAGTTCGCCAAGTACCTTTCCTGGTGCCAACGTGCTCAAATATTTACCATCACGCGACACCTCGACCTTCCCCTCTGCAAACGTGACCGAATAATTAATATTTAAATCTTATTAAGCATAACAGGTGTGTTAAACATCGATCGATTTAAATAATTTAATTACAATAAGCACGATGTTTAACATTGTTTATTTATAATTCGTTGCTCGTCGGCTTATTTCTTATTTAAAAATCAATATTGTACTCATAGGATTAATATACGAATGATCATTTCAAAGCTATTCCAATACTTAATTTAATATTTCACTTCTCGATAAGTTTTGAGATATAATTTATTAATTTTTATATAGAGAACGTATATTCGTTATATATTCGTTAGGATATCTATATTGGATTCTAGAGGGCAAAACGAATACAAAAGTTGATGTATAAAAATGTTGGACGAGGCTTATTCATTAAGTTGTAAATTTTGCATTAGATAAAGCGAGACGAGATAGAGCGAGACAGCATTATTTTTGTTACATCTCCCCGCCGCACCGTGGCGCATGTGTCATTCTGTTTCCATCTTGTTTCATCTAACTTTAATCTAAATCGCTTGTAACTTAATAAATAAACTTCAATTAAAATTTTTGTATATCAATTTTTTTTTCTATTGGGTATTGGTTTCTGGAATCGATACGAAAAATAATTAAGAAATTATCGAAATATTAAACGATTATTATTACTATTATTATCACTATTATATTTGTTTCGTTCGAAATTAACGAAGCCACTTATTTCCTAATACAAATATTCGAAAGAAAAAGTTGGACTAATGGCACAAACCATCATATATCTGCGATGCTTTACCACTTTGCAGCTCGCGTTAGCAAATGATTATGCACATTAAATAAGACTTTTTATCACGAGTTAATATTACCAGCTGGTGGCTGAGTAGTTGGCGCGAAATCGATTATTTCATAACTCAAATAACACTCGTGTCGTTTGTTACGCACGATAAAACCTGGTTCATTAGATACGGGTCTGCTCAGATCCAGTTCCAATAATATTCAAGATCCAGTATTCGGAGCGATTCACGAACCCGAAGGACCGCTGACATTTCGATTTCGATCAATTAGGTTAGGATCGGTTCATCGTGTCTCATGTATGTCGTGCATGTCGGATAATTTAATTGCAACGTGACATTTATCGGAAATCGTCTTCGGTGGAAAGGTTACTTTAATAGATAGTAGAATATGAACTATACATATTTAAGTATATATTTAATATTAAACCTATATTTTCGTATACCAACTTTTGTATTTCTTTTAAGAGAATCAATCCTCCATAAAGTGTTCCATATAGTGAATGTATTACACTTTGAATAACACTTTGCATAATGAACATCCTATACGCTCTTTTCTAAAATTATGAAAATATAATGTATATATAATATATATATACTATTTACTACTAGATTTTTCGAAATGTTCGATTGATATTAGCACAAGAAGGATCGAAACTGAGTTCAATTCGGTGGTTGTCACATTCGAGGAAATTGCGTTGGTGTAAAAGATTGCCCTCGAGGGTAAGAGCAATCAACGTTTTTTCAACGTTGTCGACGTATAAATAGGCGAGGACCGGATGCAATGAGCGTATGCAGTTATCTCAGACCCAATCCCTTGGCTCACAATGGATCTATTCATGAAAGCATCCGGTACCTGTGCGGTTTTCTGTTCGTCTACCGTTAACGTGTGCATTGTGTACGCTATCTCGCCCACGTTCTTGCCTCGTCTTTGCCTCGATTAGACTTGGTTTGTGTCACTTACGTTACCTTACGGGTCAAACAATTCGTTGAAAGACCTATTACGCAATTCATCCTTTCCTTTCCATTCCATTCCCCATTCCATTCGGGAAAAAAGAGAAGCTATATCTCGATCGGAAGTTTCCTTATTTATCCCCGATTTTGACGTAATAAATCGACGAAAGATCAAGGAATATTCATCCGCAATTGACAATAATTCGCTTTCCTTCGCCTCGAAGCAAGTTGCGAGTGAGAGTTGATCGGTGAAAATCTGCTAATTGATTAACAAATCCCATAAGGCCAGCCATTGGAATTCTTGGAAACGAGTAAATAGTGACAATGCTCTCTCTGTAAACGAATCGGCTTCATCCCGCTCGTTAGATCCCGCGTTTCTTTTCTAGGAAAACCGCGGTGCAGAAATAGCTTCGGCAAGGGAGAATAATTGTTAAATGAAAGCGATTAGCCAATCATAGCCGGCTATTGCCGCTATAAATATTCATCACGAGTTGGTAATAATCGGTTGCCTCGATGGAAACTTCAGGTTGATATATTACTGACGCATTTGTAGAGGAAAAGATGGGAGAGAGAGAGAGAGAGAGAGACAGAGATCTATGAACGCGAGTTCTATAATAAATGACATTTGATTTTCTTTGAGTGTTGAGAAACATTTATTTATTTCTTGCATTAATTTCTAATCTATATCGATTGTTTATTAATCTCAAGTATGATATTAGTATATTAAAACAATTACATATTATTCTTCTTTTAAATGATATTTGATTTTCTCTAAGTGTTGAGAAACATTTATTTATTTCTTGCATTAATTTCTAATCTATATCGATTGTTTATTAATCTCAAATATGATATTACTATATTAAAACAATATTACATATTATTCTTCTTTTCTAAATTTTTCTAAAAATTTTTAAATTTTTTTCTAAATTTTCTTAATCCAAATTACACGATTTATCTTCCAAATATTCCCATTTAATATTTATTAAAGATTAGAATATTATTAAAGATAAAATAACAATATTGAATAGTCACGATTACTAAAAAAAAAAAAAAAAAGATCGTTTATTAATTTCATTTCAGAAGATCATCGACTTTTCTTGACCCAAGCCAAAGTTCAATGTTCTAAATATCAAAGTTTCTACGCTAAACGCAGCAACTATCTAGCACTTCTGCTTTCTCTGATCGTTCCTCGCATAAAGATCACGAGGACACGTGAAAGCTTCGTTTTTGCGAAGTTCAACAAGCTCTTGGACCGTGTTCCTTGACACGTAACTTGTTCCACCGCTCGGTACATCTCGTATATCTGTCGTGGAGGCGTGATCCTCTCGATTAAACGAGGCCATAGTCGCTTCTTCTTCCATGAATCTTTTCGCGCTTGCCTTGTATTTCGCGAAATGCTTGATTTATCCGTGTGTCCAATTTAAAGCTTCGAAAATTTATTCACTTTGGATATAAGGGCGAGATACGTTTGAGAGTGAAATACGTTTGTAACTTTTTTTTATTTGCCAGAATACAGAATCGAGAATAATTCTCGATTCAAGATAATCTTCAAATCTAACAAGTCTTAAGTTTAGATTTGTACTCTTGAGAGTAATGGACACTGAAAATGACGACTATTCTAGAACAATTCTAAATAATTCATAGAAAGATAATCTTTAAATCTAAGAAGTTTTAAGTTCAAATCTTAATTCAAAAATAAAATCTTCGAGAATTGTAAGTAATGGACACTGAAAATGACGATTATTCTAGAACATTCCTAAACAGCATCCATTGAAAAATAATAAAAATTTAAAGTCTAAGAAGTGTTCAGATTTTAATTTAAAAATGAAATCTTCGAGAATTATTTTTGAGAGTAATGGACGTTGAGAATGACGATTATTCTCGAACAACATCATAACATCCATTAAAATATAAAAAAAGATCTACTTTTAAGAAAGAGAACTCTCAAAAGATAATCTTTAAATTTAAGAAGTCTGAAACATGTTTAAATCTTAATTCAAAAATGAAATCTTTTTGAGAAGAGAATTGTTTTTGAGAGCAATGAACATTGAAAATGATGGTTACTTTCAAACAGTATCTATTAAAATCATGTAGAAAAAGATCTATTTTTAAGAAAAATAATCTTTAAATCTAAGAAATTTAGATCTTAATTCAAAAATGAAATTTTCGAGAATTATAAGTAATGAACATTGAAAATGACGATTACTCTCAAACATCCCTAAACAACATCCATCAAAAGATAATCTTTAAATTTAAGAAATCTTAAGTTTAAAACTTAATTTAAAAATGAAATCTTTAAAAATTATTCTTGAGAGCAATGAACATTGAAAATGACGATTACTTTCAAACAATATCTAACAATTTAAGAAATCAACAACAATATCTAAACAATTTAAGAAATCTTAAATTTAAAACTTAATTTAAAAATGAAATCTTCAAAAATTATTCTTGAGAGCAATGAACATTGAAAATGACGATTACTTTCAAACAATATCTATTAAAATCATGTAAAAAGAACTATTTAAAAAAAAAAATAACTTTAAATCTAAGAAATCTTAAGTTTAAATCTCAATTCAAGAATGAAATCTTCAAGAATTATTCTTGAGACCAATGAACATTGAAAATGACAATAACTTTCAAACAATATCTATTAAAATTATGTAGAAAAAGATTTATTTTTAAGAAAAATAGCTTTAAATCTAAAGAGTCTTAAGTTTAAATTTTAATTCAAGAATGAAATCTTGCAAAGAGAACTCCAATACTAAGAAAAGTACGAAGAAAGGTACAAATTTTGATTAGCTCAATCGAGGTTGATTGAAATTTTCCAAATATCTAGATATCTAAATATACATATTATAAATACACCTATAACGTGTCAATGATTCGTTAGTATTTTAGCCGTGAAAGGGTTAAGGGAAGGAGGCAGTCCACGGCCGTATTGTCCCGTGAACGTTGCTTTCACTTCCTCGCGTGCATATAACGTGTCCTGTCAAGAACGAGCCGTACAAAGAGACTTACGAACCGGTTTCGAATCGATGCGATTCTCCAGGTTGGCTGACATTCTTGAACCCTCGTATGGAAATCTATCAGATCTATCCATCTCTTAAATTTAAGTTTCCACCAACCTACAACTAACAAAACTACTCGAGTTCCGTTCGAGCAGCATCATCTTGTATAATAATAATGCAACTTGTGACAGAGATACAACTCAAAGAATCCAACAGATACAAGTTTTAATTCTGAGCCAGAAACTTATAAATATATGTATGAGACGCAAA